GTACTCTATAATTCAATATTTGTTATTCAAGTATTTTTTTATCTAATATTTACTGTTTATGTATGTTAATATTTAATATTCACTGTTTATGTACTCTATAATTCAATATTTGTTATTCAGGTATTTTTTTATCTAATATTTACTGTTTATGTATTTTATTATTTGATATTTATTATTTAAATATTCCTGTATATATACTTTTTCGTTTAAATTTCTAAGAATTCTCTTACAGTATTCTTTTATAATTATAAATCCATACAAATTTATATTTCAAATGAAGAATATAAGTTGTAACGTTCGTTTGTGACAGTTTAGCTCAACTTACGATCATAAAATGCAATAATTATTATTAAGTGAAGCTAACGAGATACCCAATTCTCATCAATAGCCTCAAACCTGGAAATATTCGTCTGCGTTATAACAAAGTATCAAAATTCTTTAATGTATTAAAATTTCGTGAAATTCCGTGTCGGCATTCATGTTTCCTGCTGTTAATAACATTGATTGCTGATAAATTGTTCTGTTACTCGTTACATGGTGAAATCAATACACAGCATAGATGGAAAATAATTCACTGACTTATGATACAGGATATTATTTTCTCTTCTATTCTGAGTGATAATATTTCTTGATTAATAAATTAATTATTTATGTTTCGTTGTAGGAAACAAATTTTTTTAAGTATTTTAGAAAAGATAAATAATAGCGTTGCACAACTATATCAAGAATGAAAAGAATAAATAATATTTCCGTGTTAAACTAAATAAAAAATTAACACAAATTTATCTTGCATAATATTACGTGACTTAAAATTTTCATATTTATCACTATATTTAAAAATTTTTATTTTATTTCTTCATTGGCATATTATCGTGTTTTACTAGATGCTCGTTACATTTGTAAACAATTAGACAATTATAGTTGAACATGAAATAAGAAGCTAATATTTACATATCTTATATATTATTCTATGTATTTATTTTATTAATATGGTATCACTCTTACACCATACAGTCTATCTACCTGTAATTTATCCATAATAATTATTAGCCCCTATTAATGTCCTTATTTAATTAAATTAAATCCTTAGTAAATTAAATATTATTAAATATTATTATTATTAAATTTTATTAATATGGTATCACTCTTACACCATACAGTCTATCTACCTGTAATTAATCCATAATAATTATTAGCCCCCATTAATGTCCTTATTTAATTAAATTAAATCCTTAGTAAATTAAAGTAATTAAGTTCTTATTAAATTAATTAATGCTTCTCTTATTGAGTTAATCTAAAATTACGTTGGTTAATTTAAATGTAAATTAATCTAATATAATCTAAGATAACTAAAATATTAGATTAATTAAAATACTGCAATCAATGCGACTCTTTTTTCTCACGGGCAAACAAAATTCTAATTATAAGAGGTCAAGATAAAAGTTGGAAAAGAAGTTTACTAATTAAGATAAAACTAATAGTGCTTTAAGGACGGCAAGCTTAGTTTCTATAGCCGATGAAGTCACTATCTGATCCGTATGCGTGTCAGCCATGTTTCTAGGACGATTTGAAAAATTCCTGGGAAGATAGAACTATGCAAGAAGATGAATTCAATGATAAAGCATAATGCATCATTCTAATCGTCTGATCTGGAAACGATTCAATTAATATCTGAAGTACGATCAATTTTATTTCGATAACCTGTACAATTTTCTTTCTCTTAAGCAAAGTAACGATTAAAAAGAAGCATTTAATAAAAACTTAAAGTAAATCACGGAAAAATTTATTACCAAGATGTCAGTAAATTCTGACATCGCAAAATTGATATTAGCAAAATTTTGCAACAATAAAACATAACAATATATATAAAAAGAATATATTTAATAGGAATTTTAAAAAATTATTTATTTCCTCACACTTCTGTCATAAGTACATTTTTATTTATGGCAGAAAAATAAATTTCCTTGTTTCTCCATTATAAGGATATTTAATTAATATTAAATATATATATTATTAATAATAAATAATAATATACTATACAAATTTATATATTATTTTATATTTATTATTTATTATATAT